GTACAATTTAACTACTAAATTTAAATTATCAGTTAACTCGGCTTCGGACTGTTCGAAATTCTAATACGTAACAGGTTCTTATAACAAGATGACTATGATGAAAACTACAGATTTGTCCCGGGATCTCAGTAGACACAGGTAAAAAGGTTTCAACACAAGCAATCAGGAATTGGTAACACCAATATGAATTCGCTGCGTCTCAAGAGACGTGACTAGTGTACTGTACGTACATATCAGGATTGTGGACCTGTGCTCTCTTCACATACAAGTTGCGATGTTTTGTTTTGCCCCCGAAGTGATTCTCGACACGTGCGTGTTTGAAAGAAACCTATCAGTGCTTTCGTCACTAAAATAATAAGATATTCTGGTGATGATGAAGCGGTACAAGCAAAAATACGCAATGGCTGCAAATATCAAAAAAATTCAACACAAATGGTGTACATGACCAGATGCATAAAGCTACCTATTGTTTGATTCCATGGATGAGCTGTTAGCAATAATTTCGTATTGGTGTATGTTAATCTCACCCCCATACGTCAGGTTATTCAAAGACTTCTTAGAGGTATTGAACATATGGCCTTGCCTGCAAGATCGCCAAATCACATAAAGCATGTCTGGGATGCTCTTGGATGACGTGTTGCAGCCTATCAACAACCACCAGAACTCATTTTAGCCCGTAATATCTCCCTGATGGAAGAATGGTCACGTAGCCTACAACAACTGAATAACGCATTAACTGGAAGCATGTTCATCACTGTCAAGTGTGTAGTACCGCCCATAGGGGGCCACACTCCCTACTTAAGGTACTCCTAGCGCTAAGGGTCAATAACCTTAATATCCTCGTTTGTCCAGTTTAGACTTTAACTCACGTTTTGTAGGTTCAGGCCAGCATGAAAACGTGTGTATTATATTAACCTCAAAAGTATTTTCACTGGACTATACTGTGTTACGATAAATAATATCTCTTTTAAAACCTGCAGTTGTAAGGTGTTGTTTTATGCTTTGTTTTTGCTTAAATTTGAGCTTTCTTATTATAAAAAAAAACCAACAACTTTTCTTTTAATCATCTGAATTACAAATATCCTAGTGTTCTATCATCTAGAATTTTCTTAGCTTTTTTTATATTTCAGTTGACTTCAAAATACACCTGGTAGCAACTATTAGACGACCTTTTCCAAATATGACAATAGCAACTTGAGAAAATTATTTAAATTTCATATTATCCATATCATTTTGTATCTTGTGTTTTTGAACTCTGGCAGAGACTCAGTTTGTATTGATTGGCTGCATTCTATTTCTGTCTGGTTACGAAATTCCATATTTCAGATCGATCGGCCACTACTTCCACGTGAGTGTATAGAACAATAAAAGAATTCACGGAATATCGTACCAATAGCCTAAAAAAATAAAACGTACTAGACTGCAGTGTACGAAGGACGACACTAGGACTATAAAATCCTTACCTGCTTTAAAAATATGGTTCTGACGTTGAAATATTTTAATAAAATAAAAAGTTATCACAAGATCTTATTTCCAAATATTTTTTTGCAATATTATTTCTTTTTCTTCAGCATATCACAACCTGCCAACTAAAAAAGAATTAAATTTCAGAATATTATCGATT